CTTGCCAACTTCTGCCCCATTCTCTTACCCTCTTCCCACTAAGCCCCACTGAAATCCAGTTTTCTCCTCCATTGTCCTACCTGCTTCTGCCCACTTTCAAGTCATCCTGACACCTCCAAGACATTCCCAACTTTTCACAGTTACTAAAACTTTCAGGTGTCTGAGACAATTTCAAATACCAGATGACCTCTTCTGGCTCCTCAGTCCCTAGCCCCACTGAGACTTGAGCCTCTGGAGTTTGGGCAGAACAGGATCAGCCCTGGCCAGGCAGAGCTGAGCACCCCTCGCTGGTCCTGCCAGACGGCCTGGCCCATGTCCTGACCAGCAGTGTCCTTACTTTTCCTGGCATTCAGATGACTCCTGAGCTGTGGCTTTGAACTTCCTTCTCTGCACCTTTTTTGTTAGTTTTACTTGCTGTGCAGAAGCTTTTTCACTTGATGTAGTCCCACTTGTTAATGTTTTGTTTTTGTTGCCTCTTTTTAAATATCAAATAGAAAACATTATTGCCAAGATTGATGACAGGGAGCTTACCTCCTATGTTTTCTTCTGGGTGTTTCATGATTTCAGATTTTACATTATGCCTTCAATCCAATTCGAGTTGATTTTTGTGTATGATGTAATGTAGGCCTCCAGTTTCATTCTTTTGCACATGACTGACCAGCTTACCCAGTCACCTTTCCTTTCCCTCTTGTGTATTCTTGGCTCCTTTGCTGTAAATCAATTGACCATATATATAGGGGGTTGTTTCTGTTCTCTCTGTTGTTTACTATTGATTTGTGCATCTGTTTTCATGTTACCACCATGCTGTTTTGAGGACAATAGCATTGTAATATAGTTTGAAATCAAGAAATATCATGCCTCCAGCTTTGTTCTTCTTGCTTAAGATTGCTTTGTCTGGTTAGGGGCCTCTCCCAAACTCTTGAAATTCTAATGGCTTGGGTGTTTTGTTTTTTTTTTTTTTTTTTTTTTTTTTTTTTTGGGATGTTACTGAAGTATCCTTAAAAAGAGAAAAGAATTTTTCTTTTCCCTTCTGGTTACTCTTGAGTTCAAATCTTTATGCTCTCTTGCCTCTTGCACACCTGGTGCCTCCAAGCCTTAACCTCAACCAGCTAGACCATGAATTTCTCCCATCATCCTTAAAATGCAGATCCGGTTGAACTCTCAACTCAAAAGCTAGTTCTGTAAGTTCTGACTTAACACCGTGAATACATGCTTGGAAATGTGGCTTTAAGCAAGACCATGTGTAACAAAACCAATTCAACCAGAGGTTAACTGATATAATGACTTAAATTCTTATATCTGATCACAAAAAGTTCCCAAAGTTCTAAGTAAAAAGACCCCAAGCACTTCTGATATTCAACTATCATTTATCTCCATTTAGTTATTCATTTCTTTTCACCCACTTATTCTAGTTCAAGGTGAGGAGGGCTGGAGCCCTTTCTGCAGTTCAGGGTGCAAGTGCGACCCATGCTTGGATAGGTTGCCCTTCCCTCACAGGGTAGATGGCACTCCAGCAGGGCCCATGAGACACATCAGTGAACCTCTGTGCTCATCTTTGGGAGGTGGGAGGAAATTCACACAGGCATGGGGGGAACGTGCAGACTCCACGCCGACAGCAGCCCCAGCCAGGAGCCTACTGCCATTTTCTCATCAACGAAATGACATCATGCAGTGTCTCTGAAGCCGAGACCCAACAGCGGGCACTGGAAGCATCCCTTATGGGGATCAGCCTTCTCTCGACCCATGCAACCTCACTGATCCGGCACTAGGCTCCTCGTCCATTTTCTTGGCTGCCTGGAGCCGTCTGCTGCCTTCCACCAGGAATAGACTGAATTGCTCCCCCGCCCAGCCCTTCCCTGTCTGCCTCCCACATAGGATCCTTAGCATCTACCAGAGGGCGCTTTGTAATGCAGTTATCTACAACATGCATGTCTGCCATGGAGTTAAGATGCCTGCACTGAGGGGCGTGTCAGGCGCATGGCTCCACCTTTGAGCTTGGCCGCAGTAACAGAGGAGGTGGCAATGGAGTCTTGTTTCGCTGTGCCTAACGCTGAGGCGGACACAATCAGGGGCAGGTGACTTCAGTTTTCTTCAAGGCTTTAGGATGCTAACTGCAGAGGCCCCTTGCAGATGTGTCTGTGTATCTGTCTTACAGCACGAACCTGGGGCCAGCCAGCACACGTCCAGACCCAAGGGGGCCTTTGGCTTCCAGCATCCTGTAAGGTAAGTCCAAACACATAGCAAATTTCCTTTTAAAATAAACACGCATACACCTTATGTCTCGACATGTCCACCATTCTAACAGAATGGGAAAAGTTTAGTATATTCACCAGTATTGTTTAGTTTTATCCTAAAGGACATCAGAAATGTTTTGTTGGTCCATCCTTCCAGCCATTTATCCATCGATTCATTATTCATTCAGTGTTTCAGTTACTAGTTGGGACCGACTTCTTTTCTCCTGACCCTGCTTTTTTCTCCTTACTATTTGTACTTCTCTTTACATAGAATGCCTTGTGTACATTTTAACTGCATACAAACGGTATACGCTTATCTGCTTATTTATTTAATCATTAGGTACATTCCTAACGCTTCTCCTTCTCTCCCAGGATGTAATTAATATATTGTCTAGTATCAAGTAGACCCTCAGAGCATGTGCACTGAGTAAACGATGCCCTGGGTGGCTGACCCCCCATCACCCACACCTCTCTCCCTGGGGCTGCCTCTCCTGCTTTTACATTTCACCCATTGAGGCAAGTGGCTTCTGCTCAGGATTTTTAAAATCTGCTTTTCTTTTTTTAAAATTTATTTGATTTATTCATACAGCACTGGGGTACAGCACAGAGGTACAGGGGCTGTGAGAGAGACAGAGTGTGGCAGAACAGGTGAGACAGGAGAGGTCTGCTGCGCCATGTGGCTCATCTCCGCAGCCTGGGATTGAACTCGAGAAGGCACGCTGAAGCGGCTGCACTTCTACCAGGGTGGGCCCACCAGAGGCCTTCGGTCTGTTTTCAATCCCTGTCTCTGTTTCTCTCACCTGTCTCTCTCGTGTAAATGAACCCCTTCTCTGCTGCCCCTTTCATCATTGTATCTTTACCCCGTTATCCAGGTAAATCGAAAGGTACTAATACCTGGGGATGAAATTTACAGCCACTCAGACTGGTCAAAGAGTGAGCCTTTTAAAGGGGGCTTGCCTTTGGTCGGGGGCTTCCGTCTCCTGAGGCTGGCTGAGAAGCTTGCTCCCCAGGGATCTGACTTGTGGGAAGGCCTGGGTGCCTGTGTTCCTGGAGACTCCCCAGGAGACATCAGGCACAGTCGGGACTGGGAACTGCCACTTCCCATGTCCGGGGCACTCACCTGCACACCTCCCCTCCAGACCGCCTCGCACAGACACACCACTGCTAGTTTTTGATGCATTGAAAATGCAGTGACTGCACCCATGAAGCTGTATTGCCTGTGGGAACATAACATTTTATTATAGAAAATTTCCAACCTCACCAAAGTGGGGAGACTAACCTGAGAGCCCCCACATTCCCACCACCCACCCTCCTTAGTCATAAACACGCTCTCGGTCTCACCCCGCCCATCACCTGGCTATGCTTATTGCTGTTGGGATAGTTTAAAGCACATCCCAGACACCCACGATGTGGCTCCTAAATACTTAAATGTGAACACCTAGTTTTACACAGGGTGGACACGGGAGTATGTTGATGCTTCTCCTCCCATCTCTAGTTCACGGTCTCTGCAGCTGACAGCCTCAGCTTTTCCCGACACTGTGGGCCTCGCCTCCCTCCGCGTGTGTGCTGAGTTGCGGCAACGAGAAATGTCTCCAGTGTCACTGGGCTTTTGGAAATCTTAATGAGTTCAGAATAATCATCCATGCTTCAGAGCAGGGTGTTTCTCCTCTGTTGGGAAGGGGGACCGTGGACATCAGCTTTGCAAACAGGCTGTGATCAGTGGATGAACCCTCTCACCACCAATGATGACCACCACAGTGAATTAAACAAGAGTGAAGGATGATGGGAGAGGAGGGAAGGGTTTTTTAGCAACTTCCACGTAAAACTGAAGCTTAGAATCTATAAATGCTGGATGTGGAGCTTCCAAATATTCTGTATTGAAGTTGTTTCCCCCCCCATCTTTTTTCAAGCATGACTTGACAGGCTTCTCCAGGGTTTACCATATTCTTTTTTTTTTTTTTTAAGATGTATTTATTTATGTATACAGAACTG